CAAAATTATACAATTATATATATAAAATGATTTCTATCAAATTAAATATTCTCTAGAGAATATATAACTTTTGAAAACAGTCTGTAAAGCTTATAGTAAATTAATATGTTAGTTATTTAAATGATAATAGATAAAAAAAAAAAGAAACAATAACGTTAAACTCTATGAATTAAGCAGTACAATATTTTTTTATTACCTCCTATTATACAGTAGACAGTACTTCAACTCTTAATAAATCTACATTTTATTGCATGATGCAAGCTTGATGCAACTTGATACTTAACAAGACATTTGTTATAAAGATATTTTATTAGTAAAGTATAGTATGTTTAGTTGGTTTTTTTTTAAGTTTACTAATATCTGAAAACTTTAGTTTTATACTACTATTCTATATAAATGTTTGTGTAATATTGATTCTAGAAATTATCAGAATTGAATATCTCCTTCTGCTACAACCTCAGTAGTCATATGTCTGCACATTTTTTGTTACTTTGTCTATACAAATTTCTTTTATGTGAATTGTTCTTTTTCTACTTGCATCAATAAAAAAAGTATGTAGAATATGTCTTTCGTCTGATCTATCACAACTTTACTAATTCTCCATTTTCAGTAGAACATTTCTCTAGAAGACCACTTTTCTGATTTCTCACTCAGCTCTATGTTGTATCTGCAATTAATTCTATAACTGCTGATAATATATTTAACTAATATCAGCAGGAAATATCAAATAACCAACTTTCGCAAGTATATCAAGTAATAATTCAAGATTTGGAGGAAGTACATGAATTAAATTTCTTTAAAGAAGATATGACGCATGTTTTGAAGGATATTAGAGACACTTGGGTTGTAAGTAAACTATTTTATATATTATAAATTAGAAGACAGAGCCTCTCATTTAGAAGAGGACTTAAGTATCTGAAAGGAAGTAGGGACTATGTGTCACTAACTTCTGGCATATAAGAACTGCAGTTGCTCATATGACCTTGATAGGTGGCAAACTTGGAGACTGCAGTTACTCAAGTTTAGAAGTCTGGGAACTGCAGTTGCTTGGATCTAAACTACTCCTCTCTAATCATTTTGAGCTAATTTGTGTCAGTCTTATAACTAATATTATCTTTTCATTTTGAGAAGTAGAAAAAACAACGCATTAGATTCTATAAAAATATAGAAATGATCAACAAACAAAAGACTGGTCATGAAATTCAGTTTGTGAATATATATTTGTTAGTTTCTTATTTTTTTTACTATAGAAAATGAGCTAATTATAATCACTATTTTCTCTTTATAAGCAAAAGTATATCATGAAATATCAAGGAGGTATCACTAAAGTTACCAACATGAAAGTTAATAAGTAGGCTAAAGAATCAGTAAATGTTAGTAAAGAAAAGATAGGTCTTAATCATAATCAGTTATAAGCTACAAAATTTTTTTAATTGTAAATATGTTGCAAGAAGAACCTTTAGTTCGCAGATTACCTTAACCAATGAAATGCATTAACTATACTGAAGATAATTCAGATGAAGAGAGGAAGATAAGAAGAGTAAATAGTACTACTTATTTACAATCAATAAAATCTTCACAACTTAGAACCCTACTGCAAGCTTCTTAGGTTTTAACTCTATTGAAAACAACTCCAAATAAGTGACCGCAGAATAAAGAAAAATTCAGCAGTAAGTCTCCTATTTTCTACTCACTATATATCACTTATCAAATAGAGAAATTCTAATAGTCACTTAACTCGCAAATTCCTCCAGATATTTTAAAGATATCTCTGTTATATATGCTTTTGATAAATCTGTTTTGGAGTTGATCTTAGAAATTAGAGAGGAGCTTGCTATTAAACTATTCTCTATTCGTGATATCAATTCTGCTGTGTAGTCAGATGCTTTGGAAAAATATATTGATACTTCTCTTAAAGAAACTAGAAAAAATTCAAAACTGCAATTCAGGTTGAAGTTCTGAATAAACTATTTCAGTTATATTGCGAAAAGTTCTTCTTGATTTGTAGATAGATATTAGTATCTGATATTGTTAATCAAAATAAATATTGACTACTGATTCTTTTTTAGTTATAATCTTGTTGATGTAAACTCTACAATGGACTGAAATATAGGTGAACAGAAAATTATTACATATCAAATCTCATTGATTTTAAAATTTTATGAGAGGATGTTTTTGAATCTTTACTTCAATTGAATTGAAAGCTATGCATCTTCAGCAAAAATAACAAAATTCGCAACAAATTCAGGTATAGTTAAAGTAGATTCAAAGGCAACTTGGTATTCAGATAGACAAGAAGTTTGGCATATAGAAGTGGCTAGTAGAACATACAAAATAACAGACTTACATACTCTTAGTGATATAAAAAAAACTATGTGAATAGATATTTTGAATTTAATTAGAATTTTACGAAATTACTTTAATTGTGATATAAAACTCACCACTAAAATCAAAGTGTTCTGTACTCAGATGATCAGTAAGTAATAGTATAATTGTTTTTTTTTTGATATTCATGTTTCCTGTTTCTTCAGGTATATGAATGACTCTCTATATATTGAATATACTCTCAGATAGAAGAATTCTTTCTATGAAACTTGCTACAGCTTTAATCCCTTTGAGCTTCAATGGTTGAAATCAATATAAAGCTCTTCTCAGAATAATATTTATCTTTCATATATGCATCTAATGATTTATATTCATATATTTTATTTTTCAAAAAAAATACTCATTTAATAGTGGTATCTTTTCCTTAAGATAAGATAACAAAACAAAAAGAACTAATAGGCAAGATTGAATAATCTGTACTTTGATCTAAAGGAACAACAGTTCATTATATATTAAAGATTCCTGATAAATTGTTTAAGTGAGTCTGTATATTTAAGTTAGCAGATGATAGAATAGATTTTCTGTAGACACTAGCTGATTTAATATTCACACTACTATTAACTAATTATCATCACATATATTTATTCTTAGTATTAATGCAGATTAACAAATAAAAGCTGTTTATCCAAAAAAATATTGCAATACAATTCATATGAATTGATAATCAAACGTGATATATATTATTTTATTATGTATTTAGACTTTGATATATGTTGTGCTTCATTTAACCTCGAGGCAAATCTTGCAATACACAATTTATTTTTTAATTCATAGTATATATCTGAATAATAAATAATATAAAGCTTATTTACTCAAATACTCTTATATAGTAATTAGCATTCTGAATCAGAATGCATATGTGATTTTTTTTTTGGCTCAGATTTATGATTTGTTCAGTGAGTTGAGATCAAATGAATTCAGAGCTTTACAGCAGTAACCTTATCTAGTATTTGCTAAGATGATATAGATTATATTTGAGCCAAACCTTCACTTTTATAATATTCAGCTTATTTATGATCATGTGATATTGTGATATCATATCATGATCTATACATAATGATATCGATATCAAAATCTTCATTAATAAAAAAGTTATGCTATTTACTATAGTTGATATCTTGTTGGTCAATAGTGTCTTTACTGAAACCTATATTTTTTGCTAAATATGATTAATATATAGCTATTATATATTTACTATATTATTAAAATAT